TCTCGATTCTATTCAATCTCGATTAATTTAGAAAATGGCAGCGGCCGCAATTATAGCGCGATCCAAAGACACGTCTCTGAAAAATCAGAAAAAAAGGAAAGAGGACCAAGCTTCGCCGGAAGAAAAAACAGATGAGTCTGCTGTGAAAGCAGGAATCTTCGATGTAGATAAAATTAGTCGGATGGAGGATATCAGGTAACGTGGACGAAGGAACCGAAGTACGTAAATATGTACTTTTTTACTTCATCATCATCGTCTCTCCCTTTTTTTTCCTCCTCTTCTTTTTTCCTTTGCTATATCACGCAGGGATCTTATGATAAAAGACATGCAAGAGGAGATTCGTTTGGAACAATACGACAAGAAACGAAGAACAGAAATGGAAGCGGAAGAAGCGACGATCCGGCAGAGACAGCTGAAGCAGACACGCGTTATACTTTCTCGACATTGGACAGCGTACGCGAATAACATATTGAACCTGAAACAAGAAGAGAACGTTGGTACTTGGTTGAAAATCACGCATTTCCACCATTTTATGATGTCTCTCTCTCTCTCTCTCTTCCCGTTTCTATCGATGTATTTTAGTGGGCACGGTACATGACTTGCGATGGTCTACCAGATCCTGGTTCGTTGTCCGACATGAATACATTTTTGTTTCTCTGGCCGTTGACAGATAAAGAGCCGAGTATGAATACCATAGAGGATAAGTGTCGAGTGATCACACACGTAAGTAAAGAGAATAATTTGGTCAATCGATCGATAACTTTCATGATTAACTTTTATCTTTCAGCTGTTGAGCAAGATCGATCGGATTATTCGCTTCTCCACGATCGACTCGAAGGAATACGTGATCGAATGCGAATCGGTGAGTGGATCTCGAGGAAGGAATCTCTCTTCTTTTCCAACGATTGTCACTTTTATTTTCGAACGCCACAGATCGCTACTAAGCTTCGAATGGAACTTCAACGGTGGATAGATCTCGCGTGCTACCGATTGCTACGTAACATCGAGTCTAACATGATCAGAGAAGACATGAAAACTACCAGATACGTTCGTGCGACGAACAAAGCAGTGTGTTGCGTTTGGGCTCCTATTCCGTTGCCGATAGGACTGAAACGACAAGGAGGGGATATAGAACGATCGTCGTTAATCACACACGGGTACCCTTTCGATCTTGCTGCGCCAATCTACCGATATGTTTTATTACATTCTTCTAGTACTTAACGTTAACAATATACTGATCGAGTTTGATCGTTACGCGTTTCAAATTGCAGAAAGTCGATCGAAATAGAATTCGAAGAAATGAAACTGACGATTAAGATGCCGAGCGATTTGGACTGCCATCGTATGGCGATTAGAGGTCTTTGGCTTGCTTACGATCATTACTCGATCGAAGCTCATTCCTATCGCATGCCCCAACTACCAGAAAATTTGTTCGATCTGTGGAATTCATCGTTAGGTACGTTATGCTTCTCTACACAGTTTTCGATGCGTTCGCTCGTGAGCGGGAATTTGGCGCAACTACCTCAACAAATTCCATCATCCTCTACATCTACATCTACATTGTGTTTTATTTTATAGATCTTCTGGAATACTCGACAAGAGAGTACGAAGAAAAGGTTCGATTATACGAGGAGCAAGCGGAAGGACGACGTTTACGTCTAGAGGAAAAGAAAGCGATACTGGAAAGAATGGAATATCCTCCAGTTTCACCGCGGCTGGATAAGAAAAGGAAACGAGGTAAAAAGGAGAAAAAAGCACATTCGGCGAAAGATTACCAGTCGGAATTCGAATCCACGTTGGCCTCGGTGTTGCCTTCGAAAACGGAGCTATTACCCTATTTGCCGACCCCGAACGAGATACTTGGTCAGAGAGAAGGTAAAATCGTCGTCCGATTTTCCAATGGTCGATGTCATATCGTGTCGCACGGGAAATGTTTTTTTCACAGAGGAAGCAATGTCGGAAAGCAGAAAGTTACTCTTTACTCGATGCGAAAATACAGAAGTGAATTTGCGAAAATATAGGATCCTCGGTGGAGTATTTCGCGTAGATCTCCTCTACCAACCGCCACAACCAAAAGATCTCGGAAAAGAGACTTATTTAACTACTCGTGAGTACCATTTGGGTTACCTTCCAGATGGCCATAATTCGCATTATTGATTATGTGTTTATCGTTCACAAACACCTCGATTACGAATCGCGTCATTGAAACGACCACCGAAACCGAACCAGTTACCACTTAAGCACTTTCGTTACAGTTGAATTACCGAAGGAGCCGAAATTCGTACCGTTTCTTAGATCATACGAGACACCTAAGGCACCACTGGAGTCTGAGAGAACGCCGGAAGTCATCGAAGCTGAAATGAAAGCTCTGGAACTAGCGATGGATGCGCTCGTCTTGCTTACACTCAAGTCGGTTTACATCAATACGTCGATCTTATTCTTTACGAATTTTACTTTCCTTTTTGTTGATTTGAATTTCCCTCTTCATTTCCTGTTGATTGCTGCTCGCATCGCTGTTGCACCTGTACAGGCTGCCCGATTCGGTGTTCTGGTTCGAACCACCGGTGGTCGCCCATTGGTTACCAGAGAAAGAAATGTGGTCAACGAAGCACGTACACGATGTTAAATTCAACGAAGAGAAACAAACGATCACGTTTCGTACCGGAAGATTAGGAATTCATGGATTAGCTGGCTACAAATACGCGAATCTTCCGTTTCAAAGTTGGGAATTGAAACCGGAAATGGGAAAAAGCGGACGAGAACATGCCGGGGTGGTTCTCAGCATTACAGCTGCCACGATTCAAGCCGAGTTCGTTGTCAGGGCGAGTATTATAGCATTTTCTTAACCTGGGATCCTGTATTCATACAGAATTCAAAGAAGATTTTTTATTTCTTGACGAATAATTAGGTTTCCTTTTCATTCGTAGGAAGATCGAGTTTGTTTGAACTCACTTACCGGTGCCGCGTCTACACCGATTAAGGAAATTATCGGTGAATATTTCGAATTGGAATGTTTGATCGAGGTAACTACGTGTAATTCGTCTTTCAACTTTTTACCCTTTTGTTCCTCTGCTTTTGTCCGGTCGTGTAAATTGTATATATTTCGCGATGCTCGAGTCGTTTACAAAGAGTACTAGCGGTAAAGCGTAAACTAGCGCAACTTGCAGCGATTGCAACAAGTTGGGTGCGACCTCTTTCCGGAACGGGACGCTGCCAGCTATTTAAAAGGACTCTCGATCAAACACCCGGTCGCTGAGAAACACTTGAGAGAGTGTATGGCTCTATTGTCTACCTCCTATATTTTTTCTTGGTCACGATGGAACGCGTCTCGCAGCTTTCGAGAAATAGTTTTGCAATTTAAAGAGGTACACGGTTGCGTGGCAAAACAGGTAACGCGCCAACAAATAGCCTTCGGTTAATTATTTTCAAAATATATACTTAATCTTATTTTACTGAACTTTACCATTCAGCGTACGAACCTGACGGTCTTGGTAACATCTTCGCGGACAATGCGCATACGGTGTACCGAGGTCAGTTCCGAATTCTCCGACTTACCACTCGATGACGTCGAAGACATCAAGGTAAAGAAAAACGATCCTTTTTCTTCTCCTTTTTCTTCTTTGTTTTCTTTTGTTTTTTAGTTTTACGCCGACCTTTATCAATTGGCGTTAAACACCGCTGGGATCAAGACTCGACTACTGACGGAACAGATGTCGTATAAATTAGCGTCAACGGTTACTCAACTTCTCGAACGTACCAACGTTATCAGCATGTCCTCTTAACTCGATCGAGCTGCAAATAAGGACACTTGGCTGTCGGTGCATCGAAAATGGAAGAAGGGCAATAAGATTGGATGACGAGAGTTCGTTTCCCAAACGAAATTCTCTTTATTCGGATATACAACGTTATGTCGAGCATCAAGCGATATTCAGGAAATAATAAACGCCTCCGTTCGATCAGTTTGTCAACGATATATCAGTTTGTAAAACGATATTTCGACTCGAAGGAAACACACAGCGATATCGAGCTTATAGTTAAGCGATAAAGAGTTAATCGATGCGCTTCGTCGTTGGGTCGAGGGTCGAATGAAAGAGAATGAGGTAGCAGAATGATGTAAGGTAGAGATTGTGCGACCGAGTCGGTTGCTGGAATGCTCGGGACGAAGGGCAAGATGTGGAGCAAAATGTGTGTGCGTGTGCGTGTGTGGGTGGGTGGGTGGTTGAGTGTGCGTGCGCGCACGGATCAGATCGATAAAGTGTATAACAGGCGATACACAACGACGAGGAAATGATATGACAAGGAAGCGTTAAATCTGTACGACTGACAGAGTCCTTTACTGCGAATTTGACTACGTGGGCCTAGTCAGTCGAGGTTTCCGACAACGAACGGTTTGTGTATTTGTGTGTATGTATATGTGCTTGCTTGCTTGTTTATTTGTTTGTTTGTTTGTTTGTCTATCGATATCGTCAATCGAAAATGCTATTACTTTTCGAACGGGGCTCGTTCGTTCCGTTTTCCCTTCGTCCGTCTTTTTCTAGTCTTTGTCGAAAAATACAACTTATTTCTTCGAATCGATGTTTCCTTCCACCCCACCCACCTGTACAGATGGATACACCTTCCCACCTTGCAGTTTAATTCTTCTCTTGATTTTTAGAACAAACATTACGTGCATACGCAATAGGAAGCTAAAAAATATATGTATAGTGTTGCGCGCTGCGAGGGCCGGACACGCGTGGCGAGCAGTCTTCACTTCGGTACACAACCGAACACGATCGATCGCAGAAATTTCTTTCGCCCCTTCGTTCATTCGCCCGCTCATGTATTCGTGTGTTCGTCCGTTCATTCATTCCTTTGTCCGTTCGTTCGTCCCTTCGTTCGTCTGTTCATTCAGTCGTTCGTCCATTCATTCGTCCGTTCATTCATCCATTCGTTCCTTTGTTCCTTCGTTCGTTCGTTCTTTCCTTCGTTCGTTCGTTTCTCCGTTTGTTCGTTCGGTCGTCCTCTTTCGCACCCATCTTATCTTCTCTTTCCTCTTTTGCTTCCGTTGAGTTCGTTTGCGCTTACTTCTTCTTCCACCGATCGACGGAACCCTGTTCGTCCTATGTATCGTTTGCACGCGTACGATATGTATACTCATAGTCGCGCGCAATATGTCAAACGATAACGCTGTCACGATAATCTCTTTTTTCCACTTTTCTTTTCCATTCCGATTCGGACGATCGCGAATCTAGCGTCTGTGACGTTCCCTACCTGCTTATTAATCTTTCTATATTCTCAAACACATCAGCATCCGGCTCGCCAGCTATTCCAGCATAACTTTTTCCATTACCTCTTTTCTTCTTTTACCTTCGTTCGAAACTTTTTGTTTACAAGCTCGACGATGCTTCTCCTTTAAGTAGGTGTACTTGCATTATGACCACCCGACTACGTTGTTTCTTCGTCAAGTTATGGCTGAACTACGCGATGAGCGTTTATCAATCTCAAGATTAAAGACTTGTAGTAGTCGATGATGAAATGGTCGATGCGTAAAGTTCAACTTTCGATAAATTTGCGAATCAGAAAACAACTAGAGGAGGCGACCTGCCTTCCCTTTTCACGATGTTACCGATCGAACGAAAGACCAAGAAGAAAACGAGACAGTAATATCGTTTGACGCGGTGCGTCGTACGCCGTGTCAAATGAGTCCCGCGTGTCGGCTCGCTCTCGATCCGACGCAGAGGCCAACAACTTGCACTTCTCGACTCGCCACTTCGCGCGAGTTACAGCAGGGTGAATCGTGTCGAGAACAGAGAGGTAATACGGATAGGCGATAAAATACCGACTATGATCGAACCTGAATAAGTATCGACTGGATTACGCTGATCGACATCGAGTAGCGAGCCATTCTCGCGCGGGATCGCTCTAAAATCCTATTAACGCTCGTTCTATCGTTATCGCAAACTGGAACTTGACTCGCAAGCTGCTTACGATTGAGGTAATCCATGGTATAAGGCCCAATTCGCATCCAGTTCGAATTAACGCGTACTTAGTTTGTATACACTACGCAATGTATGTCGACGATTCGTTTGACTCTCTAAAATAGGTTTTAGAATTAGCGCGCGTTCCATCTGCGTGAGAAAACACAGATTAAATACCAAACATGAACGATCGATCGCTCGAACAACGAATCTCTGGCGCCACACGTGAATGATCTTCATCCACGCGAGAAGCGTATACGGTAGAGATAATCCGTCCGTTGCTTCGGCTAACTCGGTTTCCACTGACACCGGCCGCCGATCGTTGTTGCTGTCGCGCGAGTTTCGCGAAAGCTCCATCGACCGGGATCGCTCGAAATTCCGAACGATCGCGGCGCGTTGGAGCAAACGAGAAAATCGGAAAAGAAAATAGGGAGAAGAAACGCTCGAGGGCTGGGAGACACCTTCGATCCGTCGTTCGCGTTTACTTTTGGCACTTTTTCTCCGATTATGGGGCTAATTTTCTATCTGAGCGCGCGTAATCGCGCCAACAGGCGTTCCATCACGATCGACCAAACGCGATCGAGCGACATACGAACGTATAATATTTATAAACGCGCTGCGAACGCGTTCGCTTAACGACTAAACGCTATGGATCTGGTGCATGTGACACTCCTCTGGTGCAAACGTTAGCTCGGACTCCGACTCGAAAGAGTCGAACAGGAGTCGAACGAGTCGTTTTAGCGCATTTCTCTCTTTTCTTATTTTTTCCTTTTCTCTCTTTCCTTTTTTTTTCTTTTTTCTTTTTTCTAACAGGTTTATGCGAAATCGTAATGTTTCGTGTTGCATTTTGCATTTTGCATTTCAACGGTTGCGTAACGGTATAATACACAGGCTACGATATACAAACGTTAGTCTAACTGGTTTTTGTGCTACTCGATAATTAGGTGTACACACATGTGCGATGCGTATGCGTGCAAATGTTCGACCTACTTCATATGCAGGTGTATGCGTTCGTGTATATGTATGCGGTCCTGCGTGCATGAGTGCGTGCGCGCGTGTATACGTGCATGCATGCGTAAGTACGTACATACTTACGTAGGTTCGTGCGTGCGTGCGATCGAACGAGATCGATGTAAGATTAGACGAGATTGACACGTACGCGAGAGAGGAATCGGATGTACCCGCGTCGCGTGCAAAATCGTCGCTCGATCTCGCTGGCGTGGTACGTAGCTCATTTAAGAAGCAGCTCGGTATTTATTCACACTCGACTATCTAGCTATTCGTTAGATTGTAAAACCACTGAATGTAAAAATATTCGTCGACCACGCTGCTCGGAGCATGTGTTTGCCGCGACATCGAGTACGACGTTTTCGAGCCGCAAATCGCATCTACGCTTGTAACGTAAAAGCACTACGCTAAACACGCTACGCGACGCCCCTCGCTTTGCCAACAACTACATATTCACTACCACTGTCGGTGTTTTGCTTTCGTCTCACGACGCACTGCACATTCGACTCTACACATATACCGAGATGAACGCAGTTGCGCACACAGATACGCCACGTATATGCAAACGCACATGTACACGCACACTTTTCGAATGCGAATATACGTATGTATGTATGTATAATGTATGCAAAACCTGCAAATCGTCGTCCCAATTTTATCTCGGGGATATCTCTACGTGTTATCGTCAACAACAGCAAACTATCGAATGTAACGCTTAAGATTAATTCAAGGTGTAACACCGATCACAATTTTTATCGCTTTCGAAAGATTTCCGACTAGGTCGATACAAAAATTCCGTCAAAAATATCGCTGCTTTATGGTTTCTACTTATAAGAATTCAATATTATATTCCGGTGTTCCCCCGTTTCGATCATTCGTACACGTACGCGATGAGCAATTGCACGCTACCAAATAACCAACGGATATAACGAAGGGAAAAGAAACAGAAATGAGAAGGGAGAAGAAAAAATTGGAAGAAAAAGAGCGCGACCTTGTTTTTGACACATAGAGGTTTCGAAATAATCGGAACGGTCGAAACGTAGGATATCGTGGGAACGCGACTAAAGGGGAAAGAAGATGACCGAGTTTGCTTCTACCTTCGGTCAACAATGGACAAGATGCTAATCTATTGAGTTTAACGGCCGACGCGAAAATGAGAAATCACAAAATCGAGGCAAAGGGATGAAACAGAAATCGCGCAATAAAGGGAAATTTTTTTGAAGATTGGTAGACGAGCAAACATTTCTTTTCTTTGTCGTAACGCTTTGATATCTGATGGTAGAATCGAAAGACACCGGGGTTGAATATACGGGAAACAGGGACGAGGTTAACGCTGAATCGCATCAACGTATTTCGAAGCAACGGTATTACGTACTCGGTACGTACTTACTCGTGCAAAACACTCATAAAAATAATGTTCGATGTTAAATGTCAATAGAGTCGCAAAAGTAATATCGATCGGTCGCTGTTTCGGGCGTCTCGTCGTTCGCTCGAAACGTATATCGGTATGTTCAAACATCGCGGCACACGATCTCGCGTGAGAACGAGCTCGTTATCGTTCGCGCGAGGGAGTTGAATACGGATATATATTCGTCGTGAATCGTTGTCGTGCATGAAGAAAAAGGAGGACAAAGAACTAACCGACAGGAAATATCGACGTTGCGCCGGAGAAAATGGTTCGATCGTAACGCAACGTACGGAAACAGTTTCTGCTCATAAGTATCCTGGGGGAAAGGGGAATCTTTCGCTCGATATGGACGCTCGACCTTTCCTCCGTTCTCTTTCCCATTTCCAGCCAACCGATAGAGCAATCGAGGGAAAATAAAGAAGCTAGTACACCGTTGATCTCCTCCGTACTTTTCTATGCAGAAGAACGTCGTCGCATGAAACCAAACGGAACGCCACGTAGTGAACTATATTTGTATGGGTAAGCCGACAGAATGTCTGTCACTTTCGATTCGACACGATACTCAACTGCAAAAAGTGCGTGAATCGAAATCAACAGGCACCTCGAAATCGTACCAAAGATCTCGGTAGATTTTGATCGATTTTATGCGAAGTGGAAAATAAAAAACGGGAAGAGGATATATAAGAGAAGAAGGAAACAAAGAGACAGCGGAAAATGAAAAAAAGAGAAAGGTAAAGAAAAGAAATAGTGGCAAAGTTAAAGGGGCTCGAGAATTCGGAAGATACTCTCGATGTTACAGGTCTAGGTTTGATCGACGATTTCCAATGTGCTCGTAACGTATACAAGTAGCACCAGATACGTTCAAACCTTTACTCTGGCTTTAGTCGATGCCATTGTACGATCGTTTGCCGCGGCTTCGTAATCATATCTTGCCAGTGTTTCGTTTCGCTCGCTCCACTGCCGTTTTTTCCTGAAATTTTACCAACGAACAACAACGTTATCCGATAGTTCTACGCGCGCATAGATGCGTAAAGAGACCGGCAACGCTAGTGATGATACGATTGTGACAGTAACGGTGACAGTGACAGTGACATAGTGGCGCTTGCATTGAGCGAATTATCGAAAAATACTGTACCTGCAAGTTGAATCCGTCCGATCAACTCGTTTCGACCGATGTTATCGAAGTCCATCACCATTACGTCCAACGAACATTCTCGAATCTTTTCCCATGGTACATTAAAAGAAAATGCTTCGTTGAATACTGGATTCAGAGTACATTTAAATATAGGTGTCTTCCGTTTTTCGATCCTCTTGTCGCCGAATTGCAACCATACTTTTACATATGGATCTAAACGCAAGAGCAGAGTGGAGAAAAGGGAAAAGAAAAAATTAAGCGTCGTAGCCTGACCGCGATCTCAAAATATCGAATCGCTCACCTGATTTTCCGTTAATATCTTTTGCTTTCAAGTTTCTCGCTTTCAAAAGCGTCAAAGTGAGTACGGAATTGCTCGGATGATAACACAAAGAACACAATAATTCGCCGCACTTATCCTTCGCCGGTGGTTTCAGGGCTTTCCAAAATGACGGTTTGTCCGAAAAATCAACCTACCGAGAATCGTTCATCGTTAAATCGCGACTCGATACCACTCAAACCATCGAACCATCGCTCAAGACCACGGACTGATCATGAAAATTACCTGACATAGCGGAAGAAACATTTCTCCGATAGAATCGTCCCTGGAAAATCGATCATAGTCGAACACGTGTAAATGCAACACTCTGCTTTGTAATTTTTGAATCGGGAAACCTACGCAAAGAACGTAATATAACGCGATGTAATCCTTTTTGAAACGTGTAATCGTAGTGTGCATCTGTGAATGCGATGCAGTTTGCCTGGAACGCATCTCGGATCGATGCTTACCTTCGAAATAAAACGTTTCGTTCCATCGAGGATTTAGCGTGCGTCTCTTTATCTTCGTCTCTAGTCGGTGTTTCTTGTCCGGCAGAAGGGTTACGCGGACGTAAGGATCGGACGTCCCGGATAAGTCCTTTGCCGGCAAATCTTTACCCTAAAAGTCAAAGTACCGAGTAACATTTGTCATTTATAGCTTTGGCCGCGATGGGTAGGTAGATGGAGGTAGACCGAATATCGACGATTCGCGTATCGTAGCACTGACCTGTATAATACGTAAGATAAGCGTAGTGTTTTGAAAATCATATTCCAAGCTGAAGTGTATTTGACCAACATTCTCGCTGGGTTCTGAATTATCGATGTACATGTCCACCAAAGACATCGATCTGCTCTGCAGAAACGCTTTCTGAAATGAAAACGTGTTCAAAGCTACACATACGGATTGGACTCGCGAAATCGGCGGAAGAAAGAGACTCGACGAAGAAATCCGACCTACCGACGGATGATCTCCTTTGACGTTTTGCAGCTGTTTGTTTTGCACTCCGGCGGTGGGAGTGCGAGGTTCGGCCGTTCCAGCGGCCGACC